ATTATTATTATTATTTTAGCAAAAACGTTATCTTTAAAATGTTTCATTTAAACATCCCTTAACTCACAATTTATCATTTTTAGTTAGCTCTATGTAGTAAAAAGAAATGGCTTACACAGTAATTGAATGTTATCAGGGGGAGGTTTGTTTCAGCAAGTAAGGCATAAAGAGGGCTAGAAAGTACTGAGTATTGAGTATCTGTTTATGAAGAAGGAAAACTTGGTTAACGGACACTGGCTGCCAAATATGAGAAATGCAAACAGCATCACTGAACAGCACATGTCAAAAATGTTAAAGTGGAAAATGTTGTGCTATAGATATATTTTTTACAACAATTAAAGAATAATAATTTGCCTAACGAAGCTATCTTGTATAATTTATATTTGACTCACTTTATCTTCCTAATTGTATTGAAAGCTCCAAAAAGGCAAGAACTATCTCATTCTTCATTTAAGCCCTAAATTACTGCTTTGCAAATCTCGAATACTCAAATTAACCATTATTAACCTGAAATAATTTAAAAATGGACACTTCTTAGCAAAGGATTTCTTCTAATTTTCAATTTTTGAAGTTTCCTGGCATATCTTTCTATCTAAACACCTAACCAGTAGCTGTTGAGTCGATTCCGACTCATGGGAACTCCATGTGTTTCAAGGTAGAACGCATGCCATAGGGTTTTCAATGGTTGTGCTCTTTCGGAAGTAGATCCACAGGCCTTTCCTCTAACGTGTCTGGAGATAGGTTTGAACCGCAACCTTTCAGTTAGTAGCAGAGCACTTAATTGTTTGAGCAACCCAAGAATTCTATATTCTTCTATAAGGACTAATAACCATATGTAATTATCCCTCATTAGGTTTTGATATTAAGCCTATTAGGAAAAAAAACAAATAAACAGGGGCTCATTATTGACAGGCTCTAAGAAGAAAACAGATTTAAATACATTAAAGAGAGCAGCCCAATGTACCGCTGCATACCAAGAGAGCTATAAAATCAGTATCGGTACTGGATATAAGTCAGTAAAATCTAGTCTTACAAATATGCTACTCAAATCATGAAAAATTATATTTGGCTATAATCATATGTTGTTTTGGAGTCCTAATGTGGTGCTGTAGTAGAATAAATACTGGAATGCTATCCACAAGACTGGCAGTTCAAACCTATAAGCCAACCCTAGGAAACTCTACACAAAGTCGCTGTGAGTCTGCACTGACTCGACAGCACTTAACAACAATATATTTTGTTTTACTATCAAATTAAGAAAATACAATTAAAACATAGTCATTACTCTGAGGATCAGACTCTAGCTACCTAGTAGACATAGCAAACTGTCCTTCATCTGATTATTCAGTAATGCTTGTTAGTAATCTCATACATGAGCCCTGGATATCCACAGACAAATGTAAAAACCTTCCCTAAAAGCCGAGACTGTAAATTCCAAAAAGGCAAGTCAAGCCCCCCCCCCCCCCCCCCCCACCCAAAAAAAAAAAAAGCTAAAGAGGATAGAGAGAAACACTGTAAACTGATGATATATGGAGGGGATAATAATCAATGTAATGAAACAAGCTATATGAATGGTTGAATGTGAAGCTGATGATGTGCCCTGTAAACTTTCACTCAATGCAAAATAAAAACACTTAATTAAAAAAAAACACAGTCATTAAAATCAAATCAAGTGCTCCTTTAAAGAAATCATCTACATTAGCCCAAATGATCTCTAAAGCAAAGATGAGAAGTACTGGAAATGGAACAAACAAAACGGAAATAAGAAACTTCATACACTGTCTAAAATGTAATCAACGTCACTGAACAAACTGTATATGTTGAAATTGTTAAACGGGAACCTAATCTGATATGTAAACCTCTTACCAAAACACAGTAATTTTTTTTTTTTTAAGTTTAGAAAGCTATGAACAAATCAGACTTACGAGGCATTTATTAATAATAATAATGAGTTAAATGTAGCTAAGATAATAACATTACTCAATGTGAACACTTACCTACTGCTTTCATTTGTTTTCCAATAGCTTGGCATATTTCTTTGGCAGCTGCAATCTGGGCTTTTTCACCTAGCAGACTGCCAACAGTAGCTCTTAGGATAAAGGAGACACATCGTCTGGAGTATACAGCCTCTACATGTGTTTGTGTTGCCCGAGGATGAGAAACCAGATCAAGTACATGGGACAAGAATGTAGCAAAGCTACGCTCCAACCACTGGCCACCCAATGTTGTTACAAAGACAACATATGCCTATCAATAGATCAATATACAACTTCAGATAAATGTATATAAATGCATTAAAATAAAACAAAGCAATTGATGATAACAAAACAATTTCTATAAAATATATAAAATACTATAACACTTATAACAATAAATTGTACATTATATAAGGGGACTTTAAAAATTTCATGGAAAATAAGGAATTTTTCCATGAATTTTTGAAAGCCCTTCTGTATTACTTTAAGTAGAGAAAATTTAAACTTGAGACCTTATTTAGAAACTCTAGCATAGGAACTAGTGGTAGAATTGTCTTTGACTGAATAATAGCTTCATAAAAAACTAAGAGAGAGTAGTGAGGAAGGGAAGGAATAGCGGAATTTACTTTGATGATCTGGAAAGTAACAAATTATAGGAAAAAGAACACCCTAACATCCTAAGTAAACAATAACATACAACTACAAAATATTCAGGACTTTCTCTATAAGAAACTTCTACTGAAACTTATTTCAGGGGCAAGATATGGCTGGGCTGATTGTGATAAGTTCATGAGAACCATTCCATCTTTTTATACAGATAGAAGCATATTTGGTGTTAATTATTCTAAAAGTCTAATCCCATATCAGGTTTAATCTTAAGCAGAAATTGGTCAGCGGTGGTAATAAGGACTGATGGAGAACACAAAAAATCAAAACGCCTCAAGCTTCCTGAATATAGTTCAATTAAAGCGGAATTATTTTATATCTTATCATTGCCAAGCAAAATTTGAGAAAACTCCATGAGATGTTTATAATATAGTAGACAAAGGCATATCTAAATATCATGTTTAAACATGCAATTAATTCAATAAAAGAAATATTTTTACAGAAACCAGATCATTTTAATAATCTGTGTGTTACTTATTAATAGTCTTACATGAAATTCCCCAAGTGATATGATGAGAAGTCTTTTACATGTGAATATATTACAAACCTGTGTAACTCCAACTCTCACTTCACGATTAACTGACCCTCCAACTTTTAACATTTCTCCACCACTCTTTAAGAAGCCAGACCCTCCACGTAGAAACCCAGTGGCCATGAGCTCTAAGACCTCATCTAGTGTCGCACGTTTCACATTCTGGCGCATTACTTTCAGGAAGAAAAGTAAATATGTAAGTTAGTATTTTCACACACTGATTTGTTGTCATTCAATTCTATTTCCTAATAGTGAAGAGCTGGAGGAGAAGCCCAGGACTACTAACACAATATTTATGGTTCAAATCTGCCAACCACTTCTTAGAAACCCTATATAGGGTCACTACGACTTGAAGGCATTTAGTAACAACAAGAACAAAATACATCTATAGTTTTAAAAGTCAAGTAATTATTAAGATATATTCTGTAATCATACAGCTAATAATGCACATTAGAGAGAATTTTGAAAAAAACAGACAGGTGTAGGGAAAACAAACAAGCATGATCCCACAACCCAGGCATAATCACTGTTAGTATTTGATATATTTCTTTTTTCAATTTCCTTTATGTATAAAAAATTTACATAAACATACAAACTTTTCTTCTGTGTCATGTGCTTAAAATGAGACCAGCTTGCCTTAGCTTGTTCAAGGGTTTGCAAGGACTAAAATAAAAAATATATGGAACTTATCTCTATATTCTCAAGCAATATAAGTAGTTCAAACTATAGAGACCATGATAAAGGATTTCATTGAAAAAAGTTACTAAAAGTGTAGTAAGTCTTTTTCCCCTCTTCCCCTTGCCTCAAATCACCTAAAAGGGACTTTTTAGAGATCACTTTCCTTTCAATGATGGAGTACAAAATCCCATTTCACAACTAATCCCAGTAACATTCAAAAAAGCAAAAGGCTATATGACTGAAGCTGGCAGCTTCAGAGAAGAGTAAAGACAGGCGGTTGTTGTTGTTAAGTGCTGTCGAGTTCATTTCGACTCATAATGAACACTGTATAGGGTTTTCGAAGGAGCTCTGGTGCACAGTGGTTACAAGTGGGGCTGCCAACTGCAAGGTCAGCAGTTCGAAACTACCAGCCGTTCTGCGGGAAAAAGATGAAGCGTTCTGCTCCCATAAGATTTATGGCCTCGGAAACCCTGTACAGGGTCACTATGAGTCAGAAGTGACTCCACTGTACTTAACAACAACAACATAGGGTTTTCGAGGAAGACCTACCTGGTAAGTCTGCACCTCTGACCTTTCAGTTCTAACTGACCTTGCGGTATAGCACTTATCCTAGTGTGCCACACCAGGACTCCAAAGCCAGGTAACTATCTTGAAATTAAGACAGATGCCTCTTCTGGGCAAAGTAGCTGTCCTGGATGCTGTTTTTCAAAGGACTGCCACATGCAAGGATTTCCCACCTGGATAAAGTAACCTTAGCTGAATTCTGAGAGATGCAGAAGAACAGTAAATGACCACAGACAAGGAGAGTGACAGCCAAATGTTCTGAGTGGGGATTCATGAATGTTTTCACAGAGTAGCAAAGCCAGATCAAGAAAATGTCCAGCAGGTGTTGCCTTTTCTGTGTTTTATCCTGTTGATGCCTCATCTGACCCTGGCCAAGAGGACCAGAATACAGTGTTTTTGTTGTTGTTAGGTGGTATCAATTGAGTTCCAACTCACAGTGACCCTATGCACAACAGAACAAAACACTGACAAGTCTTACACCTTCTGCATAAATCTTATGTTTGAGCCCACTGCTGCTATCACTATGCGAATCCATCTCATTGGCAATCAAATCATGTTCTTTTTCACTGACCTCCACTTTACCAAGCATGATGTGCTTCACTATGGACTAGTCCCTACTGATAACATGTCCAAAGAATGAGAGACAAAGTCTTGCCATCCTGACTTTCAAGAAAGTCTGGCTGTATTTCCTCCAACACAGATTTGTTTGTTCTTCTCAAAGTGCATGCTACTTTTAATACTCTTCTCCAACACCTTTAATGCAAATGCATTAGTTCTTCTACAGTTTTCCTTATATACTGTTCAACTTTCATATTCATGTGAGGCTACTGAAAATACCCTGGCTCAGGTCAGGCACACCTTAGTCTTCAAACTGACACCTTTGCTCTTGAACACTCTGAAGTGGTCTTGTGCAGCAGATATACATAGTGCAATACATCCTTTGATTTTTGACTACTGTTCCCATGAATGCTAACTGTGGATCCAAGCAAAACGAAGTCTTTCATAACTTCCATCTTTTCTCCATTTATCATGATGCTATTTATTGGTCTAGTTGTGAGGATTTTTGTTTTCTTTGCATTGAGTTGCAATCCATAACAAAGGCTGTAGTGTTTGATCTTCACTAGTGTTTTTATGTCTTCTTGCTTTCAACAAACAAGGTTATATCATGTACATATTTGCATATTAGTCTTCCTCCTATCTGGATGCCACATTTTTCTTCATATAACACAGTTTCTCAGATTATTTGCTCAGCATACAGATTAAGTAATACGTTGAAAGGTTACAACTCTGTAGCAGATTGAGACTTTCACAACTGTAATTGCAGAAGGTGTGCAACTAAAAGGTGGGAGTAGTTAATCTTTCATTTCAGGAACAGAGGATCCCAGGACCATCAAGAAGGAAGAGCATGAATGGAGCATGAGATCTTACCTAGAAAAATGGCGACAGCAAAGACGGTGTCAAAGGTCATGGCATGGAAAGACAGAGCAGCTGCAGACTCTAAGCCCATGGACAGAGAACTGCTGTGTGCCTGAAGGCAATAGACTGATTTGTAAACTGTGCCCTTTGGGCATTTAAATGAATACACACTTTTTGTTTTGTAGGTATACATCAAATATTTTTGCTTCATTGATTTGTGAAAAAATAAGATGTAAAATGGATGCCAAAGGGAAGAAGCAAGATAACTGCTGTTGCAGGGAGGGGAGTATAACCATTTAGATGAAACAACACGTATGATTAGCTGAAAGTAAAGCTGATGATTTTGTTTGTTAACTTTCACTCAATTCAATTCACAATAGAAAGTTTAGGAAAAAAGAAAGAAAGAACATTACCCTGGTACACACCTTTCCTGATTTTAAACCATTTAGTATCTCTTTTTTCTGTTCAAATGACTGCCTCTTGGTCTATGTACAGGTTCCTCATGAGCACAATTAAATGATCTGAAACACTCATTCTCTGCAATACTATCTATAGTTTTTCATGATCCAGTCAAGAGCCTTTGCAGTCAATAAAGCACAAGTAAACATCATTCTGGTATTCTCTGCTGTCAACCAAGATCCACCTGATGTGAGCATGATACCCCTCATTTCACACCCTCTTCTGAAGCTGGCCTGAGTTTTCATCATTTCCCTGTCACAGTGCTAAAGGCACTTTTGAATTATCTTCACCAAAGTTTGACTTGCTGTGCTATTAATGATATTGCGGGATGATTTCCACATTCCATTGGTTCTCCTCTCTGTGGAACCTGCACAAATATGGATCTCTTCCAATCATTTGGCCAGGTGTAGTTATCTTCCAAATTTCTTGGCATAGATGAGTGAGTGCTTCCATTGCTTCTTTAGGTTTGTTGAAAGATTTCAATTTGTAGTCCTGAAGCCTTGTTTTATGCCAGTGCTTTTAGTGCAGCTTGGACTTCTTCCTTCAGTATCATCAGTTATTGGTTTGTTTGAACCTCTTGAAATGGTTGAACACTGACCATTTCTTTTTGGTATAGTGACTGTGTATTCCTCCTTCCTATTCTTTTGATGCTTTCTGCATCACCCAGTATTTTGCCCATAGAATCCTTCACTATTAAAATTCGAGGCTTGAATTTTCCTTTAGTTCTTTCAGCTAGAGAAATGCTAAGTGTGCTCTTCCCTTTTGGTTTTGTACTCAAGATATTTGCACATTTCATTATAATCTTTACTTTGTCTTCTCGAGACGTCCTTTGAAATATTGAGTTCAGCTCTTGTACTTCCTCATTTCTTCCATTCACTTCAATATCTCTGCGCTGGAGAGCAAGTTTCACAGTCTCTTCTGACATCCATTTTAGTCTTTTCTTTCCTTCTTGTCTTTTTAATGACCTTTTGCTTTCTTCCTGTACATTATTCTTTTTTTTTTTAGATGAAACCAAGTGTATGATTTATCGAATGTAAAACTGATGATCTTGTCTGTAAAACTTCACTCAATTCACAATAAAAAGTTTAAAAACAAAACAGAAAGTAAGGTACAGGGATGATGGAACACAGAACTTAACATTTGCATGCTGCTCTCTGTATAAATACCAATGTTTACACTGAAAGGGCTATATATTCATCACAGTGGTCACAGTCCTGGGCTCTCCTGCACAATAGTCTCAATGCTATCCCATAATACAGTGGGAAAGTAGAAAAAACCCAAAACTGCCCCACCACTCTTTCTTACAGCTAGCTTCCAGCTGAAACAGTATTTGAACTGGGAGAGAAAAGCTTTAACTTTAATAGTATTTAGAGTTTTACCTGTTAAAGAGAAATTTAAAATACTGAAATGAGACTATCTGTGATTAGATATAAGCAAGAAAATTAATGGTCTTTACCTAAGATTTCATCTACAGAAAGGAGAAGAACAAACTCAATAGTATAGAATTTAAGGGGCAACAAGGGTGGAGCTGGGCATTACTTGCTGGCACCCAAAGCAGTTCATGCATTGTTTCTCTATTTTTTAACCTATTATACAGTGAAGAACTTACTTTTCCACCACATTTTTAATAACTATGTAACATTCGACCTTATGAATATACCACAGCATGTGTACATTTCCAACTTAATCCCAAGATGAAGCTGTGTATGTTGGTGGTTCAAGCACACCAGCTGCTCCTCAGAAACCCTATACAGGGTCGCTATGGGTCGGAACCGACTCAATGGCAATTCCCAACAACAACAACAACAACATATGTCTTTGAGTTTTTCAAAACTTTTTTGGGGTCTTTATTTTTTTTTTTAAGGTTTTTATTGTGGATTGAGTGAAAGTTTTCAGGGCACATCATCGGTTTCACATTCAAACATTCATATACCTTGTTTCATTACGTTGATTATAATCCCCTCCACATACCATCAGTTAACAGAGTTTCTCTCTATCCTCTCTTTTTTGGGGGGAACTTCTTTGCCTTTTTGGAATTTACAGTCTCGGCTTTTAGGGAAGGTTTTTACATTTATCTGTGGGTATCCAGGGCTCATGTATGGAATTACTAACCAGCATAACTGAATAATCAGATAAGGGACATTTTGCTATGTCTGTTAGGTGGCTAAAGTCTGATCCTCAGAGCCCATAGTTTGGACGGTCAGCAACGCTTGGGCCCACAGGGACATGAACTCCTGACCGGGTCTGCATGGTCTGCATCAGATTCCCCCTTATTTATTATTTGTTTAAGGGACGCTGCCTGTCTTAGGTGGTGGGGTCATTTTTTAAAAAAATGTTTTTATTGCAAATTATGTGATAGTTTACATGGGCGAACACCAGCTTTACATTCATCCTATAGTATTTTGTTTCATTGCAATGATTACAATCCCCTCCATACATCATCAAACAACCAAAGTGTACATCCCGCAAGTCTGCCCCCAAGCCATCAGCACACAGTTTGGGTCATTTTTTAAGAAACAGAGTAACTGGGTCAAAAGTTACAAAATGTTGAAAATAAAAAATTTAAAAGATAATTAATAGTAAAAGCTTGCAAGAATCCATATAGGATACAACTATTGGTTTATACTCAGATGGAGCAAAAGAGAAAGAAGGAAATCAAAGAAAAACAATCTTCATGATTAGTAGAGCCCACAGAACCACAGTCGAATCTCCTGTGACCACAACTTGATGGTGCCTGGCTACCATTAATAACCGTTCTGACCAGGGACACAACAGATGGTCCAGGACAGAACCAGAGAAAAATGTAGAGCAAGTCTCAAATACCTAAAAGAGGCAAAACCAGTTGTTGTTGTTGTTGTTAAGTGCTGTTGAGTCAGTTCCAACCTAGTTACACTGTATAAGCCTTCCGAGGAATGGCTGATGAGCTTGAACTGCCAACCTTGTGGTTCAAACCAACTTTGCAGTCCTGCGCATTAACCCACAGTGCCACAGATTCCCAGAAAACACTGCCCTGAGATATCCTTTAAACTTGGAACTGAAGGAACAACCGGAGGTCACCTTTCAGTTAAAATAGATGGGCCCACAAAATAAACATCATCACATGTGAGTACTGTGCCACTTTAAATATAACCAAATAGTCAATATTTATCCTAAACCAAGCAGGAGAAGGTAAGGAAAGGGAAACGGGGAAGGGAAGCTAGATAATGGAAACAGAATGGAAATAATGAGAATGCTGGCACACTGCACAATAGGTGTACTGTTGTTAAGTGCTGTCGAATTGGTTCCCACTCATAACGACCCTGTATAACGTTTCCAAGGAGCAGATGGTGGGTTTGAACCACCAATCTTGTGGTTAGCAGTTCAGTGTTTATTCTACTACAGCACAGCAGGCATATAAACGGTTAAATGGGATCTTAATTTCCTGTGTAATGTTTCAATAAACAGAAAATTTTTATAATGTGATAACATCACAAGTAAATACTTTCTTATAAAAAACCTTAATGAATGGGAGAATTAATTTTTTTTTTATATTTTCCAGTATGACAAGTGAAAAACCTTATTCCATTGTTAATTTGACATTTTAAAAACCTTATTCCATTGTTAATTTGACATTTTTACCATAGTCAGGAGTCCTGGTGGTGCTATTGGATAAAAACTAGACTGGGAACTACAAGGTCAAGAGTGCAAACCCACCATCCATTCCACAGGAGGAAGATGAGGCTGTCTGCTCCCGTAAATATTTACAGCCTCAGAAACCCTATACTGGGTCCTTATGAGTCAGAATCAATTCAATGACATTGAATTTAGTTTTGGGTAATTTAAATAGAAGATGTTCAAATAGATGTTTTTACTATTAATATCATATTGTCATCTAAAGAATCGAAGTTATCATCCCTGGTGGAGCTCTAAAATTTATAAAGTCTTTTCACATATGAAGGGGTTTTAAAATATTAGTGGAAAAATAGAATTAAAAGAGAACAGAATTTTTCCACAGACTTTTTGGGGCCACCTCTGTAAGGAGCCCTGGTGGTACAATGGGTTCAGCATTGGACTGCTAACTGGTATGAATACACTCCTTACTCCATGGTAGAAAGATGAAATAGTCAGCTTCCATGAAGACTGCCTGCCTCCAAAGCCGTAAGGAGTCACTATCGGGTCACTATGAATCAGAATTGACTACATGGCAGTAAGGTCGGTTTTGGTTTTTCCCCCCATATAACAGCAAAAATTTTGGAAGGGAAGTATAAAGCATGGTAGTTGTTATAGATTAAAGTATGTTTCCCCCAAAATATATATTACAATTCCTAATGAATAAGGAAGATCATAGAAGAATTGATGCCTTTGAGTTGTGGTGTTGGAGGAGAATACTGAAAGTGCCATGGACTGCCAAAAGAACCAATAGATCTGTTTTGGAGGAAGTGCAGCCAGAGTGCTCCTTGGAGGCCAGGATGGCTAGGCTTCGTCTCTCATACTTTGGACATATTGTCAGGAGAGAACAGTCGCTGGGAAAGGATGTCATGCTGGGAAAGGTGGAGGGTCAGAGAAAAACAGGAAGACACCCGAGATGGATTGGCCAGGTGGCATCATTGATGGACTCAAGTGTGGCAGTGGTAGTGAGGTTGGCCCAGGATCGGACATTGTTTCGTTCTACTGTGCATGGGGTCGCTATGAGTCGGTTCCGACTCGATGGCAGCTGACAACAACAACAACAATGTCCACATCTGTGGTTCTACTCCTGCTTGGGAATGAGTTATTCATGTTAATGATGTAAGAATAGCATACAGTGTGCCGTGAATCAATCACTTTTGAGATATTAATGAGATTATACAAGCAAGCAAGAGAAGCTGGGTCTGGTGAAAAGCTGTAACAACACATGAAGACCACCCAGGTGCAGGAGCTCGAGAAAAGGACCTTCCTTCAGAGTCAAGCAAGACAGGAAGGTTTTTTCCCCCCACTTTTTATTGTGAAATGATTCTAGACCCACAGAAAAGTTGGAAAAACAGAAGTACCCTTCACCCAGCAGCCCTTAATATTAACATCTTACCTAACCATCTTATGTAACAATGACCAAAACTAAAAAAATTAACATTGGTCCTGGTGAGGTGCTGTGGGTTAATGCGCCAGACTGTAAAGCCGTTTGAATTGCAAGGTTGGCAGTTCAAGCTCACCAGCTGCTCCTCAGAAAACCCTAAACAACAGGGTCACTATGGGTCGGGACCAACTCTATGGCACTTAATAATAATAATATTAACTAAATTACGAACCTAATTCAAACTTCACCAGTTTTTCTATAAACATCCTGAGAGAAAGCCTTTCTCTAAAACCAACACCCTGAATTTGGACTTCTAGTCTCCTAAATTTCGAGAAAATAAACATTTGTTTGCTAAAGCCATGTATAGTATTTCTGCTACAGGAGCACTAGATAACTAAGACAATGACTTATTGAATGTAAAACTGATGATCTTCTCTGTAAACCTTCACGCAATTCATAATACAAAGGTTAAAAAACAAAAAATGAAGCAAAACAAACGAACAAAAAGACTTGTCTATATGTAATAACATATGTAGAAGAAACCATACCACATACCTTCAAGCATCTATTACACTCTAATGAGGGTTGGCAAATAACAGTACCTGTTGCCTGTTTTGGCATCAATGCTGTTGCCATGACTGTCCCTAAGAGCTTCGACACTGCCACTCGTCCTCCATAATTTGAGTTTTCTAAAGCCTTAAAGCAGAGAGTAGCAACATTTTCCAGTTCTGCAGTCCACATGAATACAGCTTCATTCTGTAATTCTAGTAAACACTGGAATTGAAAATACAATATAAATAGTAAATTACACCCTGAGTACTTAGGGGAAACATAGTAACACAAAACCTCTATAGTAAACCAAAAAAACCAAACCACTGCCACTGAGTTGATTCCGACTCAGAGCAACCCTACAGCCGAGAATAGGGGTGCTCCCTAGGGTTTCCAAAACTGCAATCTTTACAGAAGCTGACGACCACATCTTTCTTCCTTATAGCAGCTGGTGAGTTCAAACCTCTGACCTTTCAGTTAGCAGGTGAGCTCTTTATTCACACCAAAGGGTTCCCTAACCCCTATGAAGGTGGTGATTGCATGCTGACAGTTCAGACTCATAACAACACCGACTATATGTGCTCTTATAACAGAAATACTATAGGGTTTCCAAGGCTGTAAATCTTTATGGGAGTAGACAGTCTCATCTGTCTCCCAAGAAGTGGCTGGTAGATTCGAACTGTTGACCTTGTAGTTAGCAACCCAACTCATAACCCACTATGCTACCAGGGCCCTTTTAACACCCATATAATGGGGGAGGGAAGCCTCAATTCAATAACCTCAGCTTCTACTTTCCTCAAGATGAAGGATATTAAGCATAAACAAAAGAAATAATGCAGATCACAGATGATATCAATGAACTACAAAACTGTAAAATAAGAAGCTGGTTCTTTGAAAAGACCACTAAATTTGAATAATGTATAGTCATACTGATCAGGGAAAAATGAGAAAGGGACAAATTATCAAAATTTAAAACGAGAAGGTCATCTACTCTAGGTTCAACAGACATTAAATGAATAATAAAGGAATAGTTTGAACAAATTTATGCTAATAACCATCCAGATAAAATGGACAAATCTCACTTAAGAAGAAAAAGTTAATCTGTGATGTCAGTATCAATTAAAAAAAGGAAGTTTGCATTAATTATACTTCAAAAAGCCCTGGTGGGGCAGTGGATTATACAGGTTGGGCTGCTAACCAAAAGGTCTGAAGTCCAACCCACCAGCTACTCTTCAGGAGGAAGATGAAGCTGTGTACTTCCATAAAGATTTATAGCCTTAGAAACCCTGTTGAGCAGTTCCACTCTGTCCTGTAAGCTTGCAATAATTTGGAATCGATTCAACAGCAGTAGGTTTGGTTTGAGTTTAATTATACTTATTTTAAAAAAAAAGATAAAATACATTTTAAAAAAGCACATCCTAAAAGTTTCATAAGCTCTTATACTATATTAGACAGTTCTTATACTAGATTGTATTTACATGTAGATTACTGTAACTTGATAATTTGTTTTATAATAATTTATGGAATCAAAATTCAATATTGTTCAAAACAAGCTACAATTTGTTTTTACTATTTATGAAATTAAAATAACACTCTTCTGTGCTATTATACCCAATTTATAAGTGAGAAAACAAAGGCATAGAAAGATTAAACATCTTTCCCAAATTAGACAGTTGTTAAGGGGTAAAGTACAAATTTGAACCAGGAATTCACATGCACTTAACCACAATGATGGTGGTGGTGGTTATGTGCTGTGGAATTTGTTTTGACTCATAGAGACCCAGTATAGGGTTTCCAAGGCTGCAAATCTTTACGGGAGCAGAAAGCCTCATTTTTCTTCTGAAGAGCTGCTAGTAGATTCAAACTGCTGACTTTCCAATTAGCAACCTAACTCATGACCCACTAAGCTACCAGAGCTCCTTAACCACTATGACATTATGCAATTATAAGAAAGGAGAAAGAAAGATACAACCATCATCATCAAGTACCGTATTCTCTTATCTGAGGAAAGTCTCTAATTGTGAGAATACAGGATCGCCAGAAAAAGAAAGGTTAATACATTATTTGAGCAAATAAGTCAGAGTGTAGAGATGGAAAATAAATTCTTTACCAGGAAACAGGTTCTATTCTTAAGGGTTTGGAAAGGAGAAGGAATGGAAATGGGAAACACAGGAAAGAAGTGGGATAGATGACATTCCATAGGGGATTGTAATCATTGAGAAATAATGAAGTGTATGGTTTTAAGATCTCACTATTTCCAAATCTCTACTCACTTTGAACAACAACAACAAAAAAGGTTCTACTCATCGATTAAAGAGCTCTGGTAGCACAGTGGATTATGAGCTGAGCTGTTCACTGCAAGGTCAGCAGTTCGAATCTACCAGCTGCTCCACAGAAGAACGATGAGGCTTTCTGCTCCCATAAAGATTTACAGCCTCGGAAACCCTACAAAAGGGTCACTATGAGAAGGAACCAACTCCACAGCACATCACCACCACCACCATTCATCTGTTAAAACCACAAAGAATTTCTCTTTTAAAAACAAAACTATATCTAAGTTTTGAACTTAATCTATTTGTTGTCATATTTTTAAAACTTTAAGAGAAAAAAGAAATCACTGAGTATTTAACAACAAGAAGGATAAACAGCAACATCATAAATTGGCCAAGAACTAACCTTAGCAACTGCACATCTAACAGCCATTGACCTGTCAGTCAAGAGGGACCTGGCGTTTTTGTAAATATCACGATGACATGAAGCTGCTGCACCACCCAGTCCATTTAGAACTTTCTGTAAACTCATTAAGATTTCACTTCGCCCTTGAGACTAGACATATACATAAATGAATCTCAACAACTGTTGCAAAACAAATGTCATATTTAAACAAGAACATATTAAAACATACAAATTCTCTGAGCCTAATAATTTTAACCTCTAGATTTTAAACAGTCAGTAACAAATAAATGGTAAAAAATTAAGTATATACTCTAGAAATTGCTGAAGTGCAAGAATAGTTATTAATGACAATTAAATCTTTCTGAGAAATGGATTAAATAGAAAAATTCTGAGCATAAACAAAGAAAATTCTATGACAAACTGAGGTACAAAATGAGAAAAGCACCAATATCAAGAGGCCAAATGTAAAAAGGCCAAACCTTTAAATGTGAAAGGTTAAGTCAAAAGTAATTAAGAAGTAAAACAAACCATACAAAAGAGAAACAAGGAAAAATTCAACACATTTTAGAACAATGGAACTCATACATTTGAGGGTAAACGGAAAGAATATAATGCAATGTACATTAAAAGAATGGTAAATATAGTCAAAATATATTTTTAACTGACACCTAACTTTTGACACAAGCAAAATCTTCAAATATAATTTGCTGTAAAACTTACCTCTGCACTTTTCAGAGATTTCAAAAGATTATTTACTGTTTCTGGAAATGCACTGCCTAACATTCTCCCCATTTTTTCGTAAAATGCTCCAACACAAGCCACTGCAGCCCTATAAGAAGTGACAATTTCTCTGGTCATTGTCCAGGTGGATACAATTTCATTATATGTTTCTTATCTTCAAAAATCAATTTGTATTTTTCTAGGCCACATTTTTCTAGAAATGCTGAATTAATTTTCAGCTTTCAAAAATACCTGTAATTGCAATAAATACTATACAAATTAATAAACCTGCATTCTTGCTAAGAATACAAGAGAATAAATATATATGGACATAATAAATTATGCCCATTCTTTAGGAGAAAGTCCAAGCTTTCCTTTTATGAAGCTTTCCTAAATATGTCGATCTATAATGATTCCCCTCTTTTGTGACTTGACTATGTTATCCAAAGCTTGAAAAACAGGAAATGCAAAAAGTTCAGGCAAAAAACCCACATATACTTGATACATTTTATACTGCTCATAGTACCCGTGTAAAGACTGCACACACACACACACAAATAGGAAACAAATACAAAAGGGGGTTGTGCAGTTTGCAAAAGTTGTATAACAAGCACATCATTTGTATAAAAACACAAGACGCAGGCATGATGAAATGGTGTACAATTCATCCAAATGACTTTAATGGAATATTTGGCTACCTGAAAGAAGAAACGTAACAATACACAGATATGGTGGTGAAATAAACTACCATCACTCAGTAAACAGTGGCTGCTAGGTAGATACCTACAAGTTTAGCTTAGAGAAGCAGAAGGAGAACACAGTGGTTAAGAGCACATGCTTTGGGATCTGGTAGGCCTGTGTTTAAATCCTAGGACATATCACTAAACTGCTATGTGAACTTGAGCAAGTCATTAAGAGATTAAGTAAATTCAGTTCAGCATCATACAGACAACAAATACGAGACTTAAGGCGACAACCGTTTCCTTGCTGACTCCAATTTCTATACCTTTTCTCAATACTCAATTACTTGGTCATTCATAGAAAGTTTCTGGACCCCTGTACTACAACACTCATCATCCACTCATTCCACTCTATCTCTGTACCTGGTGAATTTCCACATAACCTTCATGTTTTAAGAATGTTTGAGAAGTTTTCCTTGACGCTGCTGTTCCCATCCCAGATAACCTTGTTGTCATTGTTGTTAAGTGCCATCAAGTCCGTTCCAAGTCATAGTAACCCTGTGTAGGGTTTCTGAGGAGTGGCTGGTGAGCTTCAATCACTGACCTTGCAGTTTAAAGTGACTTTGCAGTCCAGCACATTAACTCACAGTATCACACCAGCTAACCTTACTTTGGTGATATTTTCCCTCACAGCACCCTTCACTGTACCATAACTGAGGATTTTCTCATTTGACTGTCACAAGATGCTAGGTTAAACCCTTAATTTTGTTGTAGTTTAGTGTCCTCAAGTTGATTCCAACTCATAGCACTTTAAAGAGTTTCTTTGTGGTAGTAGTTCAGTGCTTATCCTACAGTGCTGTACCAGAACCACAAACTCTTAATCTAGATGTCAGCAAATATGTGGACCAAAGGATCTATGACTCAATTACTCAATCCTGCCATTACAGCATGAGAGTAGTTACCATAAAATAAAAGGGTGGTCTGTATTCCAAATACAAACTTCATTCATGATACAGGTAGCAGGCTAGATTTGCCCTAGGGCTTCTAGTTCATCCTTTCCTGTCTCAATTCCATAGCTTAGAAATACTTTGCTTTTCTTCCATCCCAGACAAGAATATCATTTCCAAATTTACCAAAAGATCCCTGTGTACCAAGTCTTGGTAATTTGCTGAAAATCCTACTGGAAAGCTGAGCATATGTGGAGATAGAGTACCTTCCTTAGAACTACTCAAGAGCGTTTTTCCACTGACAGCAGCACACCCCAGGTTCCTCCCACCTGGGGATCTTTAGGTCAGCAGACCATTCAGATGAGCTGCTCTTAAAACAATAAAAACCTCCATGGGTCCTTATGAAAGTAAATACTCACAATTTTGTTGGTAAGTAGGCTGCAGTGTCATCTTTACTTTTGATAATGTCATTACATTTATCAAGTGTTTGAAAAACAGTAAAAGTATCACCAATGCTATAAAGAGCTGCGAGATTTTTAGCCAGCAATTTCCGTGTAGGTGGTCCAGGTGAACTGCTTATTAATCCAGTTAGTTGTTCAACAAGTTTCTTCTGTTTTTCCTTTACATCAGTCTGTCATTATAAAAATAAAAATAAATTACCTTTTATGTATAGTGGGGCAATGATTAAGCATTTGGCTTCTATCTGAGATGTTGGTGGCTGATACACATTCAGTGGCTCCATGGGAGAAAAACCTTAAGATCTGCTTCCATAAAGATTACAGCCAAGAAAACCCAATAGAGTAGTTCTACTTTATCACATGGACTCCTGGTGTGGCACTGCTTGATAAGCACTAGACTGCTACCCACAAGGTCAGTGGTTCAATCAGCTGCTTACTGGGAACCCTACAGGGTCACTTGAGTCTGAACTGACTCTGTGGCACATAACACAATAACAACTTTCTAGGCATGAGATGTAACAGTGAAGAAAAAAGACAAGCTTCCTGTCTTCATGGAACTCCAATCTAGTGGTCAGGGATAATTGACCCAAATAAACAGTGAAAGTATTTATTGTAGGATAAGCACAGGGCTGCTAACTACAAGATTGTTGGTTTAAACCACCCAGTCACTCCTTGGAAACCCTACAAGGGTCATTATAAGTCGGACTTGACTCGAGGGCACTAACAGCAGGAAGACAAGGCCTCTCTGAAAAGAAGCGAAGGTATAAACTATGAAGATTTCTGGGAGAAAAACACTTCAGGAAGAGGGAAAAAATGCAAAGGTCTTGAAGTGGGAGCATGTTTAGCATGCTTGAGGGCAGTCAGGAGGCCAGTATAACTGGAATAGAGTATGAGAAGGGAGTAGGACATGACATAGAAGTTAGAAAGACCATATCATATGAGGCCTTATACAGCATTATGTTATGGTGGTGATGGGCTGCAGAGTCGGTTCCGACTCATAGAGGCCCTGTATAGGGTTTTTGAGGCTGTAAACCGTTCCAGGAGCAGATAGCCCCATCTTTCTCCTGAGGAACAGCTGACCTTGAGTTTAGCACCCGAGTCGTAACCACTACAATATCAAAGTTCCTTACAGTTTCAATAAAAGGGGTCAAAAAATGTACCTTCTATTCATGTTTTATCTGGAATCTAGCTAGAAAATATTCAAGGGAATAAACCAACCAAGAAAAATTGCAGCTATCAAGAATGCCAAGACAATGGAGAGACCAGAGCAATCTCTAGAATGTAGTGATAGGGTAAAGCAATGGCCCACAACTGAATAGGTCAGAAGACGGGAGAAGAGATTTCTTTAAAAAAATGAAAATGATAGACTAGTTGCTTGATATGTAAGATTCATGGGAGGGAGTTCAAGGTTGTATCTACAATAAAAGCAAACAAAAAAATCAAGACAATCATTAACTCTAGGGAAAACATGATCTTAAGGAGGATGGTAATCAGAGCATATTACAAGGCCTAACTGTGAAGTATTTTTATACTTGGGACAATGTAAACACCAAACACTGATTTGACAAAAATTAAGATACAGTTATTATGTAAGAATAAGAGAAGGGAATGCGTGTTATGAGTGGTGAAGCAGGGATGTAAATAAGTTCAATCCGCCTTTTCAATATTTGGAACAGGTAATGCCTAAAATAAAATAAGAACCCTGGGGAACCAAGGTTTAAGAGCTTGGCTGCTAACTGAAAAAGTCAAACCTACCAGTAACTGCAAGGGCGAAAAGATCTAGAATCTGCTTCCATAAAGATTACAGCTTAGGAATCCTATGGAGCAGTTCTAGTCTCTCCTATACAGAAAGGTAGAATTAACTCAGGGGCAAGCACTACAGTCATTCTTAGAGAATGAAGATAATTACAAAATCATCTACAAGAGTTCAAGCCATTAGTTTCTAGAAAGGGGAAATAAAGTGGGAAGAGAGTCAGGAGACTCCTATCTTTTAGAATGAGATTATCAACTATGTTTCAACTATTATATGCATAATTTAGATTTTAAAACTAAATTTGGGCAGAGAACAAACAAGATGGTGGATCAGGTGGAAGTGCAGTAAGGAGCTCTGCCAACAACAACACAAAATACTCGACCAAGTAGGCTCAGGGGATGGTCCCAGAACTCTGAGCCACATATAAAGGAATATTCAGAAGGTTGGAAGGCTTATAGCTGGGGGAATTTGTGACAGAAGCAAGAAATCCATTGCTTTCTAATTCAAGACGCTCAGCTGCGCCAGGAGCGGCTATCTTGGGTGAGACCAAGCGGGGGAAGGATCAGAGCAGTCACGGATGACTGACAGAACCGTGGAGATAAAGGTGTGGACATTCTTTTCTTCTGGTATCTGTTCATTGGTCCCTTTCTGTCTGCACATCTCCATTCTGGTGACTATACGGGTGCCTGAGCGAGTGGACACCCTAGCCCCACCCTCGGAGGGTTCCACTACGCATACGCACAGATCTCCTCTAAATTTAAAGAGACAGTTTCCACTTAAAACCAAACAGCCACAGCCGGCCCTGAACTGTTTATAACTAGAAAAAAGGCCTGAACGGGGATTGTGGAGCGAGACAGGCAGACAAAAAAGGAAATAAGCCAAAAATTAAATCCTAAGTGAGATCAAAACGACCAACAGTGGCATCTTGAAATTTCTCAAGAAGAAGTGAAAAGGGAATCCCATTTCCTGATCACATCTACCTAGAGGCAATCAGAAAGCATAAAAAATACCAAAATACACATCCATCTAAGTATTAAGGCCACAGATAACTCCTGAAGATGCCAAAAAAACAGAAGCAGTTGACCATATCTGCACATGTCCAGAAACGAGATAAAGTGACTGAGTTAAATGAGCTGGAAGGAGACCTACATGCCATACTGGAAGATGGGCAGGCTTTAGAAATGGCTGAGAAGGAATTCAGAAAAGTGATTATAAAATGTATAAAAACAAGGAAGAAGTGAGGAAAGCGCTACAGGAACAATCAAATAAGATAGATACACCATTGGAAACAATTCAAAACCTACAGAAAGAGATCCAAACGATTAATAATAGAATATCAGAAATGGACAATAGACTGAAAGGGCAAAGGAATAGCATTGAAGAGCTAGAAGATAAATCTCTCAACATTACTAAGATAGAAGAGCAAACACAAAAAAAGGATAATAAAATCTGAAGAAGGCCTAAGATTCATGTTAGACAACATGAAGAGGAATAACATAAGAATTATTGGCATCCCAGAACACGAACAATCACACAAGCCCACAGGGGAGATAGTTGAAGAGCTTCTGGAAAAAAATTTTCCTAACATCCTGAAAAGTGAAAAGAAAAGCATTCAAGAAGCTCAACGAACCCCAAGATGGATAGACCCTAAAAGACAATCACCAAGACATATAATAAGCAAGTGCTCCAAAATCAAAGATAAAGACAGGATCTTGAAAGCAGCTAGGGAAAGAGAAGTATAACATACAAAGGCAAGCAAATCAGATTAAGCTCGGATTTCTCAATGGAAACCATGCAGGCAAGAAGGCAATGGGGAAACATATATAAAACCATGAAAGAAAAAAACTGCTACCCAAGAATCCTCTACCCAGCAAAGCAGTCAATCAAATATGATGGTGTAATCAAAACATTCCAGGATAAACAGAAGCTAAGGGATTTTGCCAAAGCCAACCCTGCTATGAAAAACATCCTAAAGGAAGTTCTGTGGACTGAGAACCAACAAGAACACACACAACTACAGAATGACGTATGTGGCAGCATCACCCTGAACTCGATCAACAAATGGGAGAGTCAAGAACAAAATGAAATTTTAAGAACAGAGGACCTGGGAGGTCAGTCTATGATCAAAACAATTACAATGTGAAAGAAGGTAAATACAGGAACAGAGATTCAGGTGGTGGGAAGGTCAGGTAAATTACAGGATAAAACAGACTTAAATGGAGGGAAGAGCTAATGGAATATAAGGTAACCACAACGGGTTTGGGGTGGGGGGTTTCGTTTGGGTGTTGGGGAGGGCAATACAAGAAGTGGGGAGGAGGCAGAAGAACAAGATAGGTAGGGGAACACTGAGACAGGTTTGCATGGCCTAGTGGGACAGAGGTAAATAGTGATGCATATCAACCTTGGAACAACAGGGCTCTGGGATACAGGGATCTAGGTATAGCTTGAAGAGGGTAAATAATACTAAAATCCTTGACTGCCTTATGAATATTGGTTTCCCTTGCCTACTATTGTAAAATAGACACTCGAGTGGGATAGAAAGGAATGTTGGGAAACATGATTAGAGAAAACTTGTTAGCCCGTCTTCAGCCTATAACTGATTGGAATACCTAAAAGGGGTTCTAGAACTTGCCCAGTGAAACAGGTCTTGTGCAAAGCCTTTACAGAGTATAGGACCTTAGGTGAAATCCTGAGTCCCATCCAGAACCTTATGAGGTGGGACATTCCCACTAGAAAGGACAAGCAGACCAGCCTGGAACAGCTACAGTGACAGAAGATACATCTTCAAAGAAAGACCATCAGGAAAAACCCAAAACAAAAATGTCAGTATGACTGGCTACTACAAGAATAAGCAAGCTGTTCTCCAGGAAGACATCAAGGCAAGCAATCAAGTGCCTTCAGGACAAACTCCCCTCTAAGACTGAAACTCAAACGGTATACACAAACAAGCATGTAAACTTGCTGGCGACCACATTTGTTTACTGGTGAGTGGAAGAGGTGGAAAGACATCAATGAAGAAATGGGCTGAGTTCAAACCCAGTCCATTGACTCCCGCTGACCTGGAGATAAGAGAGAGAAGAGGAAAGGCTGGTTGGTCCAAAGTATGGTAAGACCTAAAGACACTTGACCCTATGGACAAGGACTTAGTCACAGAGGGCTAGAGCTGAGAGTGAAACATCCAGCTAATGTGAAGTGAGGGGAGATGCACAAGAACACCCAAAGTTGCCTCGATGGCTCGATAATCAGAACTCCACTAGAGTAAGATTGAAAAAAAAATTTTTTTTAATTTTTTTTTTTTTTGGATAAAGGAAACAAGGGTAAATTGCTACAATTTGATGAACCTGACCTATGCTCAGAGCGGTAGTGATTCTAAATATCAACTGAAATGGAATGAATCTTCACATCAAGTATCAATGCTATCCCCTCTGTACACAGGGTAGATAGGGATAGGCAACTTAGACATTGGCTACCTAAAATGAGGGGGCAATAAAGGCATGAAGTGACTGGCTTACAAGGTTTCAAAAGGGAGTTTCGTTTAAGAGTATTGGGGGGAAAGAAAGAGTCCCCACTGAATAGCTATCATCTTGTCTAGATGGGTCTGGTGAAAAGATATGGGGATAAGATTCATAAGATTCAATAGTGAATAATTGTTATCATGACTAATTGTGACTGTCATAATTGTAAAGATAGAAGTTTTGTAACAAAAACAGGGGAGTGGTTAATCTTACAGTCCAGAAACAGAGGACCCTAGGACCATCAAGGGAGAAGAGCACAAGCAGAATGCGGGACCTTATCCAGAGAAGCAGCAGCATCAGAGATGGAGGCATGGAGAGGGGGAGCGGCTGAGGACTCTAGATTCATGGACTAAGAAGAGACTGACTAAGAGCTGGTGGCCAGAAGGCAGACTTGCAGAATGTGCCCTTTGGAGATGTAAATTATTATATATGCCTGAGGGGTTGGTTGTTTGTTTTTTAAAAAGCTAAAGTGGATAGAGAGAAATACTGTTAACTGATGGTACCTGGAGGGGATTATAATCATTGTAATGAAATAAGGTGTATGATTTGTTGAATGTAAAACTGATGATATGCCCTGTAAACTTTCACTCAATCCACAATAAAAACCTTATTTTAAAAACAACAACAAAAACAAAAACTAAACTTGTGAAAGAGTGATAATGGAAGGAGATTAAGTGAAGGAGGCAAATACAGACAATTCTTTTTAAATAATCTCATTGTAAAGGAGAATAGAAAAATGGAACATTAGCTAGAAGGGAACACAGGAATTAAAAAGGTTTTTATGTTTTGGTTTTGAAGATGGGAGATAAAACAGTACATGTGTGTTCTGAAGGGACTGCTCCAATTGAGATGGGGAAATTAAAGACACACATGTTCCAAAGTGGGCAAAACAAACACGTTGAGACAAGTCAGAATACTCGCTCGTTACATTTGGGGGGAGTGATTAATAGGGAGCAATTGCTTTTGCGTGGCTGCTAGTACTCTATCAAGAAAGATTTGAGTGGTAGTTATATTCATGAGTTATCTGTGATAATTCTTTGAGATGGAGACTTATAATTTGTGTGTGTTTCTGTAAATATATTATAATCCAAGTTTAAAGGTTTGGTAATACAGGAGAAGAGAAAAGGAAGACCCGGAATCTCATGTACAAATGGAAAGGTTAGCCTTCAACAGAAACATAAGCAACTCATCCATAAAAACAGGAGGAAAAGCAGAGTGAATATGGATATACTCATACATGTCAAAGGAAGAAGAGATGCGGTGGGAACATGTGCAGGTTCTCTACACGTAGCATTCTCACAATAAAATACAAAGCAAAGTCATCAGATGAAAAAGAATGGAGGCCAAAGTGCTGGAGACTAAGGAAAGAAAAGTAGGTGTGAAACAGTTGCTAGCAACCTAGGGAACTATATAGTAGGATTGCTAGACAGCACTAAGGAATCACTTGAAGTTGAAGATGAGTAGCTCTGGTTGCGCATTGGTTATGAGTCAGGCTGCTAACCTTAAGGTCAGCAATTCGAAACTACCAGCCGTTCTGTGGGAGAAAGATGAGGCTTTCTGTTCCTGTAAAGATTTACAGCCTCGGAAACCCTATAGAGGGTTGCTATGAGTCAGAACCGACTCCACGATACATAACCACCACCACCAATATCACATCAGTCATGTTTTTATCCATTCACAAAGACAAGGAGCAGGAAGTGAGCTGGATTTAAACATGATTTGGGTTTTGCCACAGAACAGTAAAGGGACACACTAGAAATTCCTATTACAGTATGTTTCCATGAGTGTCCTACAAACATTATGTGTGTTGTCTTACAAATTATGAACACACAGCAACTCTTTTATTACCTTGTTGGCAGCAACCAAGACTTTATCAAGAAATCGTAGCCATTCAAAGATAAAAACTGGTCTCTTTGCTTCTGTGATTTGAGCCAAAGCGTCTTCATTCAGCAGCAAACTGTGTGCTAACTCCATTATTGGTTAAGTGTAAAACTCACACCTTAAATTGACAAAAAAAAAAAAAAAAAAATATTCAAAAGGTTTTTATAATATTAAGAGTTGAACTTAATGAACTAAACCACTAATAAATGATATGTACATCTACTTCTCATTTCACGTGGGGAACCATAAGAAACTTCTTGGAGTCCTGGTGTGGCACTGTAGGATAAGTACTGGACTGCTAACCACATAATAGATGGTTCAAACCCACCAGTTGCTCCTTGGAAAACCTATACAGGGGTTGCTATGAGTAAAAACTGACTCAGCGGCACTTAACAAAAACAAAAAATCCTTTGAGAGAAAAATCTAAAAATCCAGTTTTAAGGAAAAAGAAAGCAAAAATAAATAAGAATGAAAACTGTGCTTGGTGAGGAAGAATGAACAATGACGTGAAAAGAATATTAAAATAAATGTTACAAGTTAGGCATTATTCCAGAGAAAATACATGTCATTAACCCACTTCATTAAAGGAGAAAATCAGCACCAAAACCAACCAGAACCGCAGGGCATGACGACCCATTTTGCCTTGTCCATTAGCTCGGAGCATAGCACCCTTACCCCTTCCCTGCAGCACCTGGTCCAGGCGAACGACAAAGCTCCTGTACCCACATAAAGTTCCCCAACGGAAAGTCTCCAAGTCTTCCTAGGGGTGACCGAGTTGCGCCGGGGGCGATACCGGAACGCAGCTGGCAGAAGCCTCGCGTGCCAAGTTTAATTCGGTTACTCCGAGGACCGCTCAGCACGGTGCCCAGAGAAAATGCAAGAGGCCACTTGCAGGCCTAGCCCGGCTTACTAGGGCTGTCAATTCCAGGAGGTAGCCCCTGGGAACCGAGCCCGCAGCCTGAAAAGGGAAAACGTTCATTTCACCAGACTGGATTTCTTCTCGCCTCTCTGGAAATATACAGGGGGTTAGGGGGTGTGTCTGCGTGTAAACGTTAACGCTTTGGCGGCGAACACGGTTGCACTCACCTCCTAGTCAGGCAGTGGCCGATCAGCTGAGCTCCAGGCTAAAGGCAAGCGCAAAGGGACCCGGATGCCCCGCCTCCTGCTCGCCTGCCAGCAGGAAATGAAAGGACGGCGCGTGCGCGGAAGCTGATTTTTGCGCAAGCGCACTAGACATGTTTTCCTAGACCAGCCTGCCAAAGAGTACCTATGTATATGGCTCACGGAAATCAGGTGGTAGCAAAGCAGTGGCTAGTCAGCGCATGCGCAGCGCGCGCTCCTTGTGGGCTGGTCGCGGCAAGGAGAACTGTCAGGTAAGTAAGGTGTTGGGGAGCTCTCGATTGCATAGTGAAGGCAAGGTATACTCTAGTCGTGACTACCACACTACACCGTCACCCACATTCCCACCGTAGGTTGTCGCGTCGGTGGGATGCTTATAGCATGGTGAGCGTGAGAGGGAAGGCATCCGCGGTACCCGACAGGGTATTTTTGGAAGTGACGCCTTTCTTGTCATCTTCTACTTCAGACTGTACTTTCAACGACGTAGGCCATCTCTCTACTTGAAACATAAGGAGTTTTTCAGTCTTCTTATGTCCGAAACAGCTCTCCTGTTGCTACTTCCTCGTCAAAACAAACAAAAAAGACAAACCTATTCTACCTGTCTCCTCACTCAAAAAACAGTAGCTCCATTCTTTCAGGTATTCAAGCCAAGAACCGTGGACTAATTCTCAACATAGATCGTCCTTACACTGCCTCAGTCCTTCAGCAAAACCTGCTGCTGTTACTTTCAAAATATACCCAGAATCCGGCCACTTCATGCCACCTCCGCTGCTGTCACTTCTGTCCAAGCCTCCATTGTTTTCACCTGGATTATCGCCTGGTGAAATTTATCCTTGATGGGAATTGTTAAGTGCCCGGCTGTCGGTTTCGACTCATCGCTACCCTGTATAAGGTTGCCAAGGAGTGGCTAGTGGGTTTGAACCGTCAATCTTGTGGTTTGAAATCCAGTGCTTATTATCCGGATGTTGTAGATTATGTCGACAAACTTTAAGAACCTGGAACCCCCATCTAAGTCTGATACTTAGCATTTTGGAGTCAGCCAAGTCCATTAACCCTTTAATTCTCTAAATGGAAAGCAAGACTTCCTACCTTGTTGTTACTTGCTTTCCAGTCATTCCAACCTTCCAAATAAAGCAAACGCCTTGTGGCCTTCATTGAACCCTGTAGGACAAAGGATTTTCAAGGCTATAACTCTTTTTGCTAACAGATTATCCTATCTTTTCTCCCACAGAACAGATGGTGGGTTCAAACTACAACTGTTGAAAAACATGAATGACTGTGAGTAATATTATGAAGGAAAAACGGACAACTTTGTAAGAGGTGAGAATACAGGAGACAGTGGTGACATTCCAAAAAGACCAAACCTGTTGCCATAAAGTTTATTTTGACTTACAGTGATCAGATAGGACAGAGTAGAACTGCCCCCAGAGGGTTTCCAAAACTAGTTTTTATGGAAGCACACGACCACATATTTCTCCCATGAAACAGCTGGTGGGTAGTTTGAATTGCCAACCTTATGGTTAGCAGCCAAGAGCTTAACTATTGTACCACAAGGCCTCTTTGTGACATTACTAACAAAATTCACTGCCATCTGGTCTATTCCAACCCATAATTGTGCTGTTTGGTTTCCAAGGCTATAATTCTTTACAGGAGCAGAAAGCTTCATCTTTCTCCTGTGGAGTGACTATGGTTTGAATTGCCAACCTTGTTAACAGTCCAGTGGGGCTTACCCTACAGTGCCCCTGGAGCTCTTTTGTGATGATATTTACCATGTGGAAATAAAGGGGATGCAGGCTTTGCTGTTATTGTTAAGTGCCATCAAGTTGGTTCTGACTCATAGTGTATTGGGTTTTCGAGGAGCAGCTGGTAGGTTTGAACCACCGATTTTGCGGTTAGCAGTCCAGTGCTTATCCTACAGCTCCACAATAGTAATTAGTTGTTTGGATTGTTGAAGGACCTTGCGCCTGATCAACAGAATGGCATTGCAACTACCCCAAATTGACACTGAATGGGGTCCTGCTTGAGCTTCGGATCTCCCTGGAAGCTTGGGTCTTTGTTACGCCTGGAGACCCTCCCCCCCAGAAATTCCAGGTTTCAGGAAAATCTCCATACCCCCACCCATTATAAACTCACCAGAACTGTACCCAGACCACACGGCCTTTAAATACCCCAGTCTGGAAGAGAACAGACGGGCTCTTGGTCTCCTTTGGTAATGTAAGAGTACCCCCTCCCAGGTTTACTCTCAATAAACCTGCCTACTGTTGAAGCCAAGACTCTCTCTTTTGTCTCTTTCTTTTCCTCACAATTGCTGAGTTCAAGAGATCTACAGATTAAAATGTTGAAATGGCACATGTATGTGTTGTAGAGCTCTAGAGAAAGGGTTGATTTCCATTTTAGTATACTTTGAAACATAGTAATAGTTACTGTATCCTACTTGATTTGTAGATACTATTGACATATGAAATTGAACATGGCAGAAGAAGAGGACTACATGTCTGATTCCTTTATTAATGTCCAGTAAGTAAATATACTAGGGGGCTTCAAATAGTTCATGGGAAAGAATCCATTATTTTTAAATTCTGTTTGTCCATGAACTTTTTGAAGCCCTCTTCATACATTCCTTGTGTGGTGGTAATGGTGGTTATGGGCTGTGGAGTTGGTTCCGACTCATAGTGACCCTGCATAGGGTTTCTGAGGCTGTAAATCTTTACAGGAGCAGAAAGCCTCATCTTTCTCCCACGGAACAACTGGTAGTTTCGAACTGCTGACCCTGAGGTTAGCAGCCCGACTCGTAACCACTGCTACCTAGTGATGTGTTTAAGACATGGATGATTATTAAGGATTTTACGTGTAAGGTTGGAGAGTTAGTCTTATTGCTTTATAGAAATAATTTTTTGTTTGTCTATTTAATGGACTAGGAGTTCCTTTCTCCCTTCTAATGCTAACAAACCATTTTACCTCTACCCTTGATCTGTTTTGTTCCCCTCTTCCAAGATGTATTCCTTTTCTTTTATCTCATCTTACTGTCCCTTACAGCTGTTATTCAGTTTTGTTCTTTATTATTATCAACCTCCTAGAAAAAACAGTCTATACTTAACTACTTTCTAGTTTCTTCAACTCTAGACTCGTTTTAATTTCCTGCAAGCTGGCACCAGCCTTCATCATCTTGCTGAAACCGTTGTTCCAAGATGTTGTTGTTAAGTACCTTCGAGTCATTTCTGACTCACAGCAACCCTCTATAAGGGTTTCCGAGAAGTAGCTGGTGGGGTTGAACCACGAACCTTGCAGTTTAGCGGTCCAGTGTTTACCCTACAGCACTGTCGTATTCAGTGGCCTTTTCTTAGTTCTTAATCTCCTTGACATTGCTGCAGAGTTATATTCACTTTTTGCTTTTTAAAGCTTTCTCTTTGTTCTCTGCACTGATTCCCTGCTCATCCCTCTTAACTGTGCTGGCACATTTGTTGCTGACAACAGAGTAGTTTGTAATTAGAGCAAAGTTGATCACAGAGTAGCAGTAAAATGTTAAGTTGCAAAGTTATGAGAATGCTACATGTTCTTGTCTAAAATCATCTTTTCCATTACTGTCAGGGAAGATATCAGACCAGGATTACCCATGCTGAGGCAAATCCGAGAAGCCCGTCGAAAAGAAGAAAAGCATCAAGAAGCTAATTTGAAAAATAGGCAGAAGAGTTTAAAAGAAGAAGAACAAGAAAGACGTGACATTGGGTTGAAGAATGCACTAGGTTGTGAAAACAAAGGGTTTGCTTTGCTCCAAAAGATGGGATATAAAAGTGGTCAGTCTCTTGGCAAAAGCGGTAAGTCATATTCATAAGTCAACAGATAGTCCTAACCACTAAACTGTGATTAATGAGATCCAGAGTTTCTTACATGCTACCAAGCTTTGTAGAGAGCAAGCCTTTTTGGGTTCTTTTATCTTCCCGTGTCTGTTTTAGGTAGTACATACGCCATTAAGATATATAGGCTCATCAGCCCAGCTCAGCCTTAGAAACAGTAACAACAGGGTTGGATATAGCTTACAGTGAGGAAGCAGCTAAGAAGGATAACCTGTGATAGACTGAGAAATGCTAGGAGACAGTAAAGCAACATTAAGCATAAGGGCAGGACTCTAATTTATCTGCAAGACCACCCAGTTAGAAGCTCAATTCTCACCTCTTCTTTTTAGAAGTAAAACTCATTACTTAAATATAGAGACAATATGTTAGCTCTGTAAACTGGTTTTCTTTTCTTCTGCCCTGTATTTTAATTGCTTTGCTTTCCACCTATCTAGGCTTAGCTTTTCCTTAGGGCTTTTAACCTCTTAGACTCTAAATATTATTGTTTTCACCTTCAGTCCCAGGGTGGCACAAATGGTTAAGCTACTAGCCAAGAGGCTCCTGGTTTAAACCTACCCAGAGGCACCTAGGGAGACTAGCCTAGCAGTCTGCTTTTAAAAAGATCCAAAACCAAAACCAACCGACTTCTATCAAATCAGTTTAGACTCAAAGGCCTAAAGCACAAGACTAATTCTTTATGGGAGCGGACTGCCACAATTCTGCTTTGGAGCTGGTGGTGGTTTCAAACTGCCAGTCTTTCAGTTCGCAGTTAAGCACTTTAATCACTGCACAACCAGGGCAAAAGCTTATAGCCTTGAAAACACTATGGAGCAAGTCTAGGCACATATGGATTATTAACATAATTGACTTAATAGTAACTAACAATGACAAAGGCCCACTTTCAGGACTGGTCAGTGTTTCTTTCTGTTGTACATCCAGTTGCTATGAGATAGAAACAACTCAACAGCAACAAAGCATTTAGAAAACAAGAGGGGTATTTGATTATATAATATATTGATGTTCAGCTTTCAGTTTTGAATATCATTAAAACTGGAGGGGATATGTAGAGAATGTTGTAAAATTGCATGCTGCGCTTCATTGTAGTTAGAGGAAGAATTTCTAAAGTAGTTTATGTTTTCTCTTTTTTAGGAGATGGTATTGTTGAGCCAATTCCACTTAACATCAAAACAGGTATGTGTAATTCTTTTTGAGCGTATTGTTATCTTCATTTTGATCCTAACTAAACATGAGGCAAATTTCATTTCTCAATATTAGTAATAATTTTTGCTAAGCTGTAGTCATTATGAAGTCCTGGTGTTGGCGCTGTGGGTTAATGCACCAGACTGCAAAGCCATTTGAACTGCAAGGTCGGCGTTTCAAGCTCACCAGCTGCTCCTCGGAAACCCTATACAGGGTCGCTGTGGGTTGGAATCGACTCAATGGCACTTAACAACAACAACAATATAGTCCTTATATTGTAAGCCCTAATGTGGCACGGTAGGATAAGTGCTGGACTGCTAACCGCAGGGTCAGCAGTTCAAACCCATCAGCCACTCTCAAAAACCCTATACAGAGTCACAGAGTGGCTATGAGTCAGAATCAACTCAACAGCACATGACAATAGCCCTTATATTGGCTTAAGACATATTTTTTTTATGGTGATGTGGCTACCTTCTTATAGAAAGCCCTCAGTTTATTAATTAAACTGCTAAAACTTTTAAGTTAAAAAATGAATTTTAATGATTGTAAAATAAAATTTAAATCATAAAAAATGGGGAAAAATCCTCGTATCCATGTAAAGCACAATGCTTTTTATACATTGGCATGTCTAAAAAGTCTTGTGAAACAGATGCATTATTATTTTTTTTGTACTTGTATGACTCCAAGAGAAAAAAATGCTTTATTTGTATATCACAATTGCATAAAACTATCACAGTTATTGCTATATTCCTGGTTAAAAATAATTTTAATGTCCAATTTACATAGTAGTATTATCATATATACACTCCTGGTATGGCACTGAAGAGTCAGCACTGGACTACAAATCACAAAATCAGCAGTTCAAAGCCATTAGCTGCTCCTTGGAAACCCTATATAGGGTTGATGAGTTGGAACTGACTCAATGGCACATAACAGCAACAGCATTATCATATTGCAAGTCTTAGTGTGGTGCTGTAGGATAAACACTAGGCTGCTAACCCCAAGGTTAGTGGTTCAAATCCACCAGCCATTATTTGAAAACCCAGGATCTCTTGAGTCAGAAATGACTCAACAGCACTTAACAACAATTATCATATTGACCCACTGCCGTTGAGTTGATTCTGACTTCATAGCATCTAGTTTCTGAGATTGTAAATCTTTACAGGAGTAGAAAGCCTCATCTGTCTCCTGAAGAGTGGCTGGTGGATTTGAACTGCCAACCTTTAGGTTAGCAGTCTGTTGCTTATTCTACAGTGCAACCAGGGCTCCACGTTGTTGTTGTTAAGAGCAGACTCAGCAAAACCATGCACAGCAGAACATAACACTGCCCAGTCCTACACCATCCTCACAATTGTTATTATGTAAGAGCCCATTGGAGTCCCAGTGTGGTGCTATGGGTTAATACACTAAACGGCAGAGTTGGTTTGATCCTCAAGGTCAGTAGTTCAAGCTCACCAGCTTTCCTCGAAAACCCTATACAGGGTTGCTATGGGCCGGAACCAACTTGATGGCACTTAACAACGTGAGCCCATTGTTGCTGCCACTGTGTGAATCCATTTTGTTGGGGTCTTCCTCTTTTTCTTTGACTTTCCACTTTACCAAGCATGATGTCCTTTCACCAAGCACTGATCCCTCCTGATAAGTGTCCAAAGAACAATGAAGTCTTCAGATCCTCACCTCTAAGAAGCTTTCTGGCTATACTGTTTGTACAACATATTTGTTTGTTCTCACAGTCTCAATAGTCTACCAACACCATGATTCAACAGCATCAATTCTTCTACTGTCTCGCATATTCATTGTCCAACTTTTTTTTACATATCCATATTTCACATATACATGAGGTGGTTGAAAATACCATGGTTCTAGTTAGGCACACCTTAGTCCTCAAACTGACATCTTTTTGCACTTTAACACATTAAATAGGTAGTTTGCAACAGATTTGTCTAATACAATACATGGTTTGAATTCTTGACAGCTGCTTTCATGAGTGTTGATTGTTGATCTAAGCAAAATGAAGTCATTGACAACTTCACTCTTTTCTCCGTTTATTAAAGGAGACTAATGATCTTTGTAAAAATCCGAGTAGGTTAGTTAAGGTTGGTCTTTTTTTGTTTTTTATTGTGAATTGAGTGAGGTTTACAGAGCAGATCATCAGTTTTATATTCAACAGATCACATACTGTGTTTCATTTCAATGATTGCAATGTTGGGGGTTTTTTGCCCGGTGAGGGTGGTTGTTATTGTTGAATCTGTTTTCTCCTATCCCTCTTGTCAAATGATTATGAATGATGATACTCAAATGAGCATTGTGTTTAATTTGTATATATTCAATTGTCATATGTTGAAGTATAATAACATCACTAAGACTCTGATCAGACTTTCCTATTTGAACAGGGAAAAGTGGCCTTGGTCATGAGGCATTACTAAAACGAAAAGCAGAGGAAAACTTAGAAAGCTACAGAAGAAAGATTCACATGAACAACAAAGCCCAAGAAAAAGCAGCAGAGCAGTTTCGGTAAATCTTTGAATCTCAACTGTTTCTTTTCTCTCTCTCTCTCTCTTTTTTTTTTTTTTTAACTACTTATTGTGAAATGAATGGAAGTTTACAGAGCAGATCATCAGTTTTACATTCAACAAATCATAGGCCTTTGTTACAGTGATTACAATCCCCTCCATGTACTATAAATTAACAGTATTTACCTCTACTCACTTTAACACTTATATTCCTCTGTCTCCCGCTACTTACCTTTATCTTTCCTCTGCCAACCTCCCTCTTGTTGTATATTGCCTGCCTCATCATCCATGCTAATAATGTGTCTACCCTCTAACCCATAGTTAATTTTCCCTTCCCCCGCTATAACAGTCATAGAATGTTTCTTTTTTCTTTTAGAATGTTTCTTTTATCAAGAAAACTTTTTCTTAACTTTTAACAACCTTGGTCTCTTACAATATTTGTCCTTTTGTAAATGACTGATTTCACTCAGCATAATGCCCTCCAAGTTGTGAGATGTGTTTCAGATTCACTGTTAATCTTCAACATTGCATAATATTCCACTTTCTGTATATACCAAAGTTTGTCTAACCATTCTTTTGTTGATGGGCATTTAAGTCGTCTCCATCTTTCTGATGTGTCTCCTGTACACAGCATATTGAAGGATCCTGTTTTCTTATCCAGTCTGTTACTCTCTGTCTCCTGACTGGTACATTTAATCCATTTACATTCAGTGGAATTATCCATAAGTATGAACTGATTGCTGTTATTTTGATGTTTTTTTTTTGTAGTACTGCTAGTTTCTTTGTTCCACATAATTTTCTGCACTGACTTCATTTTGTTTGTGAGTTTTCTTTCCATTTTTATTCCTGTTGTGTTATGGTTTACTTATTCTTTCTGATTTTCCTCCTTATTACTTTAATGTGAAGATTTATCAATTTTCTTTAAGGTTATCCTGTAATTTATTAAATTTTTTTTTTCTCCATTTCAAACAGTGTGTTTTATCTTGAAATCTACTTGACTTCTTCACCATTTGGAGCAACTTTTACTCCGTTCCCTCTTTTTGCTTGGCATCAAATTGATATCTTTGGTTCACTATTTTCAGTTTTTTTGTTGTTGTTGTTTCTTTTCAAATACTTCTATGTCTGGATTAAGTTATGGGTGGTGGTGTCATGTAGGTTGTTCTCTGCTGTTGTTGATTCTCAGTCCAAAGGACACGCTTTAATATTTTTGTAAAGTTGGTATGCTGTTAAGTACTGTCAAGCTTATTCCAGTTCATAGTGACCCTATATAGGGTTTCTGAGGAGCCACCAGCCTTGTAGTTAGCAGTCCAGTATTTATCTACAGAGCCACACCAGGATTCCAAAGTTGGTCTTGTTGTTGTTAAGTGCTGTTGAGTCTGTTCCGATCCATAGCGACCCTATATAGGGTTTCTGATGAGCAGCTGGTGGCTTGAACCACCGACCTTGCAGTTCAAACAACTTTGCAGTCTGATGCATTAACCCACAGCACCATACCAGGAGTCCAAAGTTGATCTAGTTATTACAAATTCATTTAATTTCTGTTTATATGGAACTGTCCTACTTTTGCCATCATATTTGAGGAACCCACTACTCCTCTGTCAATTTGTTTTGCATGTTGCTGTGATGCTGGAAGCTATGCTACAGATATTTTACATCCCAGCAGGATCGCCCACAAGTGAACAAGTTTCAGCTGAGCTTTCAGATGAAGTCAGACTAGGAAGAAGGAGAGACAGACTATTTCCAAATTAAATTTTGTCACTTAAAACCTTCTGAATAACTGTGGAACACTGTGAGCCCCAGAGTATTGAAACATGATGAAGAGCACCAGATCTAGTGCCAGAAGATGAGTCCCTCAGGTTGGAAAGCAGTCAAAGTATGTCTGGGGAAAAGCTGCCACCTCAAAGTAGAGTTGACCGTGATGACGTGAATGGAGTAAAGCCTTCGGGACCTTCATTTGCTGATGGGGTATAATTCAAAATGAAGAGAAACAGCTGTAAACATCCATTAATAACCAGAACATGGAATGAACAACTATGAATCTAGGAAAATTGGAAGTTGTCAAAAATGAAATGGAATGCATAAACATTGATATCCTAGGTATTAGTGAACTGAAACAGACTGGCATTGGCCATTTAAATCTGAAAATCACATGGTCTACTATGCCAGGAATGACAAATTGAAGAGGAATGGTGGCACATTCATTATCAAAAAGAAGATACCAAGATCTGTTTTGAAGTACAACGCTGTCTGTGGCAGGATAACATCCATATACCTACACAGTCTTCCGTGTGGATATTATCTTATCACAGACAGCATTGTACTTCAAGACAGACAGATCTTGATATCTTCTTTGGTGTGGCACTTTGCGCCAGACTGCAAAGCCGTTTGAACTGCAAAGTTGGTGGTTCAAGCTCACCAGCTGCTTCTCAGAAACCCTATATGAGGTCTTTATGGGTCGGGACTGACTCAATGGCACTTCATACAAGCAACAACACGGAAGACCAGTTAACACAACTGTTAATCAAATTTATGCACCAATCACCAAAGCCAATGATGATGAAATTTAAGAGTTCTACCAACTTTTTCAGTCTAAAATTGATCAGACAGACAGTCAAGATGTATTGATAATTACTGGTGATTGTAGTGCAAAAGATTGGAAACAAAGAAGAAGGATCGGTAATTGGAAAACATGGTCTTGGTGATAGAAACAAGGCTGGAGATAATATGATAGACTTTTTCAAGACCAGTGAATTTTTCATTGCAGTACCTTTTTAAAACAATAGGACTGATAACTACACACATGTACCTCACCAGATGGAATGCACAAAAATCAAATTGACTACATCTGTGGAAAGAAAGAGTGGAAAAGCTGCATATTACCAGTCAAAACAAGGCCAGGGGCAAATTGTGAAACAGACCATCAATTGCTCATATGCAAGTACAGGCTGAGGCTGAAGAAAATGAAAATAAGACCACAGGACCCAATATATGACCTTCAACATATCCCACCTGAATTTAGAGGTCATAGCAAGGAGCTCTGGTAGCGTAGTGGTTACAAATCGGGCTGCGAACTGCAAGGTCAGCAGTT